CTCCGAGTGGGGCACCGTGCCAGGTCCTTCACCAGACGGATCTCAGCGACCCCTCGGACAGCTCCTTGATGAGTTGGTCTGAGAAACCCCATTTAACGGATGGGAAAACAGGCACGCACCTCAGTACATGGAGCGTTAGGATTTGGACCCAGGCAGTCCAGAGAGCTAACAAGGGCTGTGACTTGTCCACCAGGCACTATTGGCCCTGTGCTTAGAGCCCATGCTACTGTCAAATAAAATAGAAAACCCCAACCCACAGTGGTTGGGAAACTGGCTCTGTGCCATGGTGACCCACGTGTCGCAGGGTTTCTGAGGTCATGCCATTTCCAAAGCAGCTGCCAGAGCCCCGTCTTCCCCGGGGCCTCCAGGTGGGTTTGAACTGCCCACCTTCGTGGTAGTAGTCAAGCGCCAGACAGGTGGTGCCGCTCAGGGACTCCTGAGACTTCCAACCGAGCCTCCTGCTTCCCCACTGCCCTCCCACGTCACACCCCCTGGGCCAAACGCCCTCTCTTGAAAACCAGAGGAAAGGGACAAACATATCGCCCGGGTGGATATTCATTTTTGTACTGATCAAGTCAATGCATATAGACAGAGATTTATCTGTGTAAATTCAGAAGGGTCCCTGGTCCCCCGCCAAAGCCAAGATGCAGCCCGGCGCGGCACCACCAGCCTGCACAGCCCCCTGCCAGGTGGCTCCCTCTACAGCCTGGAAGGCCTCCAGACCCAATGCCTGGGATGGCGGAGTCCCAGGGCAGGGTGCTTCTGGGACAGAGGGAGGCTGCCAGTGATGGGGATTATGCTTTTGGACAGGAGAAGTCCAGTAAGCATTGACGCATTTGGGGAGCCCTGCCTCCCACCCCTCCCATTTCCGGCTTTAATTCTTCCTGGGGCTCTCTCCATCTCAGCCCACCTGACTTTAGAGAGGACTAGGGGGCAGTGGGGCCAGAGAGGTGCATCCAGCTGCCCAGGGCCACCCAGCAGCATGGGTCACAGGCACCTCTGCTGACTGCTTCCTTTTGATTTTTAACAAGGTAAATCCCGGCAGCCCCTGGCTGCTGGCCTGGGTCACAACAGCCTAAACGGTGAGTCACCGGGAGCTGCCTCCCAAACAACTGAAAATTAGCTTCGATTCCCGGGAGCTTTGGCCCACATCCCTTCCTGCAGTGGCTTGCAAGGCGTTTCCTGGGCCAGCAGGTTTTGAAGAAAGTCCAGTCTGTGATCTGTGGGAGCCCTGGCCTGGCCCCTGCTGGTCAGTACCTGTGGCAGAAAACTGCGATGGGGGTGGGGGTGGGGTGGGGAGGGCTGAGGGCTGGCACCTGGCAGGGGCTGAGGTCGGCTGGGGGATTCTGGGCAGAGGTGCTGATGGGGCGGGGTTTGCAAGCGGGGGCAGCTGGAGCAGCACCCAGCACCAGAGAGGAGAGAGGAGGCTGAGAGGGGCAGCCCTGGGGAAGTCACAGAGGGAAGGAAGGCGTGGTGGGACAGAAGGCGCAGTCTCTGGCAACCGAAAACCAGGGCTCGCGGGCCAGCTCTGCCCCTTAGGAGAGCAAGGTGACCTCACCTCCCCGACCCCAGCTTGGTCATCCATAAAATGGGTATAATTAGACCTGCCTCTCAGGGTTGTGGACGGATGAAAAGGAAATGGGATGGGTAAAGCCTTTAGCAGGTAGCCTTGCTCCAGACGAGGAGCCCATAAACCCCGGCCCCCCCCCCCCCCCCCCCCCCCCCCCCCCCCCCCCCGCTGACCCACAGGGAAAGCAGTCACCCTCTGAATTGCTCTAAACATTCCCCACCCCTCCATTGCCCCCACCAAGCCAGAGCATTGCCTCTACTGGCAGGTGGTGGAACTCCCTGGTGGCACAAACCAACAGGCTAAGCAGCCGACTGAAAGGTTGGTGCTTTGAGTCCCCGGAGGTGCAGCTGAAGAAAGGCCCGGCAAGCTACTTCTGCAAACACAGCCGCTGGAAACCCCAGGGAGCAGCTCTGCACCAACACACACGGGGCTGCCGTGAGTCAGCATCCACTCGATGGCAACTGTGTTGAAACAACAAACCCCAAACATTTTATTTTGGCAGGCTCTCACTTTGGAGGCGCAGGGTGATTGGGGCAGAGGGCAGTAGCGCAAACAGGACCTGGTCTCTCGCCCTGTCGTCTTCCTCTTGGTGCAAAGTCTGCCCTTTGCGCTCAGCAGTCATGCTAATGGTAACAGTGCTAACAATGATGGTCAAGCCAAGGCCAGGCCGTTCACTGAGCCCCCACAGGGCTGCAGGCATGGGGCTGAGCCTGGAGCCTGCTTTGTCTCCTCACCTCGGCACAGTTTACAGTGCTTCTCCCAGAGCCGCAGGAGTCCGCCAGAATGCTCCCAGCCCATAGGATAACCAGATTCCTGGAAGGATGAATTGTTCATTCCATTCATCCCCTGCCGGGCTCTGCTGGGGGCCGAGGACACGCTGGGGGAGAGAATACCAGGCG